AAGGACTTCCTGGCAAGTATTCTATGCTCCCTATGTACTATTTTGTAGTATGTTTTGGGGAAGAATGTGGAACTGGCGTGATGGATCTAGGTGGTATGGAATACCCCCCAGGAAAGGAGAAAAAAGGATTCTATCTTCTCTTCTCTACATCACAATATCATTTTATAGATACTGAGGTTGGGAGGGGGTACCCAGATGTAGAAAATTGAGCTGAATGGTGGAAGCGCAGGAAAAGAGTGTCAGGGGCGTGTAAACGAAATGGCGGATCATTGTGTAAACGCCAAAGGAACATGAATGTAACGGGCGAATGTGTACAAGCAGAGCAGGTTTGAAGAAGAGTGCGCGAGTAGGAGGAATTTGAAGAAAGAAGCGAGAGTGTATCTATGGCCCAAATCAAGACGAGCCTAGGAAGACTATCGGTTATAGGATGCCACATCCCTCCGGACAAAAGAGGGCAGGTGGAACTCAGGAAGCTCCGAGCGAAATAATAGAGTAAAAGAGCGGAAGATACCCGGGCATCATGTTAGGTGACATTAAGGAAATTCTGAATCAGAGATCGACCACATAGTAAGGGCCAAATCCAAATACACAATGGGAGTAGGATTGGACCACAAAATGGTAAGGGTGAAACTGGGGACTGGGGAAAAGAAAAGGGGGGAGTATAGAAAGGAGTAGGACGAGATCAGGAACAAAACGGGGAAAGGGAGACCATCTTGGAACAGGATCGCCGAAGCAGCAGGGATAAACACTTGGGGGAAACCGCCCATGTCACCGAACAGGAAGCAAATCGTGGAACACCACAGCAAAGCACTGAAGAGGTTTGGGCAAAACCCGCACAAACCTGAAGCGAAGAAAGAGCTAAGGAAGGCCAGAGAGGAGAAAAACAGAACCTTTGGAGAGATCAAACAATGCGCCGAGTATGCAGACAACATCGCCAAGCTTAGCCCAATGGAGAAAAATGAGTAAATTGATAAGCACTTAAAAAAAAACAGAAGGAGGGAACCAAAAATATGTACCGATGACAGTATGGGTGAAGGAGGACCAAGAAGCACAGGCTCTAGGTAATGGAGGAGAAGATTACTGGGCACTCCCCCCTCTCGCCCCTATGGAAAAGATGATGGAGATATTACGAATACTGAAAAAGGGGATAATGCCAGGGCAGGATAGGACCCAGGTCGGATTGCTACAATACAAAGCAGGATGGCTAATAAAGAACCTACATGAATTAATTCAGGAGATATGGAGTAAGAACTTGGTCCCTAAGGAATGGCAGCAGATAGTGCAGATCCTCATCCCAAAAGTTAAGTCACCATAAGGAAGCAACTTACCTACTACAATGCCTAGAGGGGCACCATCCAAGACACCAGTATACCAAGCACGTTTCAGATCAACAGACGACCATATTCACGACCAGGAAGATTCTAGATGAACCCTGGAGGGAGGAACCAAAATATGGCTTCTAGCAATAGACCTGGTGAAGGCCTTCGACCAAGTGAAGCACGAAGCAATAGCCACTTCTCCGACGCAGCTGGGACTGCCCAAATTTCTAACTAATATAATTATAAACGTGTGCCTAGGGGAGTATACTAGTATACAATGGTTTGGGGAGAAAACCGAGCACCAATTGAAAACAAGGTTGTCCACTCACCCTAAAGGCTCATCGCCATAGCCAAGATAGAAGAGCACTTCGTCAAAATCGGCGAGGCATACCTAGAATAAACAACGAAAAGAGATACATGATTATAAGAGAGAGACCCAGGAAGAAATACCCAATACAACACCACTATCGACCAAACGGTGGCGGCCTAGGGGATTCCCATAGGGAAATGGGAAGAGTGGAACAGAGACAAACACTAAATGAAGAAAGAAAGCAAGCAGACGAGTACTGGAGCTGGAGGAAGAATCAGACATAAACACAAGCGGCCAAGAGGTAGAGGAGGCGGAGATAGATAGGGAGGCAGAGAGAGGACAACAATAAGGAAGGGAGAAAAGATCGGAAACTAATGGAACACCGCGCCGAGGGAGAGGCTATCACAAGGAAGCAGACCTTCCTCTAATGCAGATATTCCAGTGACGAAGCTGAGGCCATACCTTTTCGGATCTCGGGCAACGCCCAGTTACTCCCCCCCTCCCAACAGACGTTACGGAGATGCACTCCCGATAGTTCCTACCAGGGACACATCTCCACATGTCCATGAACTAGGCAGGCCTACTGCAGCAGACCATGGTTCTGCTTACTCATATCGTTAGTGTTCCGTTAGTGTACGTTAGTGCCGCTGAAGAAATCGTCAGTGCACAAAAGGAAACTTACTATTTTTAAAAAAATATTTGTGGGCCTGCGAGCAAATCGATTCAATCTTTACACTAGTTAAACTAGCAGCGTTAGTGCTCGTTAGTGCCGCCAATATAAACGTTAGTGCTCAACGTGTAACAGCTCAAAACGTTGTAAAAAGGGGTCTGCTAACTTCATGCAGCAGACCCACATTTGTCAAATTGGCTCTGTCCTAATGCGAATTTGAAGCGGTTCGTTAGTGCTCGTTAGTGCTTCAAATCCGAACGTTAGTGCGGCAAGGAATCCGCGTCAAAAAGGTACCAAACCACCTCAAAATTAAATTTGAGTTATTGGGACCTGCCAACTTTATGCCAGTAGACCAACGAACGAAATCCCTTTGATTTTCTACTTTAATCGACCGATAAGTATTAGTGCTCGTTAGTGCCGCCAATATAAATGTTAGTGCTCAAAGTGTACCAGCTCAAAACGTTGTAAAAAGGGGTCTGGTATTTCATGCAGCAGACGCACATTTGTCAAACTGGCCCTGTCCTAATGCGAATTTGAAGCGGCTCGGTAGTGCTTCACATTCGAACGTTAGTGCTGCAAGGCATCCGCATCAAAAAGGTACCAAACCACCTCAAAAGTAAACGTGACTTATTGGGACCTGCCAACTTCACGGCGGTAGCCCAACAAACGAAATCCGCTTGGTTTTCTACTTCAATCGATCAATCAGTATTAGTGATCGTTAGTGTCGCAAAAAAAAAGTTAGTGCCCAAAGCGCAAGAGCTCAAACGTGAAATTATGAGTTTGCTAAATTCATGCAGCAAGCCCACATTTATTAAAGTGGCTCTGTCTTAATGCGAATCTGAAGCTCCTCGTTAGTGCTCGTTAGGACTTCACTTGTAAACGTCAGAAATAGAAACTAGAGCTAATAAAGACATCACTAATTTAATCGTTATATAGTTTTTCACAAAGCAAACAAAATTTTCACTGCGCTTTGAGCACTAACGCTTTTTTTTGCGACACTAACGATCACTAATACTGATTGATCGATTAAAGTAGAAAACCAAACGGATTTCGTTTGTTGGTATACCGGCGTGAAGTTGGCAGGTTCCAATAAGCCACGTTTAATTTTGAGGTGGTTTGGTACCTTTTTGGTGAGGATCTCTTGCAGCACTAACGTTCGAATGTGAAGCCGCTTTAAATTCGCATTAGGACAGGGCCAAATTGACAAATGTGCGTCTGCTGCATGAAGTTAGCAGACCCACAAATATTTTTTAAAAATAGTGTTTCCTTTTGTGCACTAACGATTTCTTCAGTGGCACTAACGTGCACTAACGGAACACTAACGATATGAGTAAGCAGAACCATGGTCTGCTGTAGTAGGTCTGCCTAGTTCATGGACATCATCTCCACGACAGTTGACTTCATTCGGGGAGAGGTGGCTACGCTAGGCATATGCCCAAAGTATCAAGTATGAAGAACATCTGGCGTCGGCAGATCGTCGCGCGACTCGGGCATTCTCTATATGTATACAGGGCTATTTATTAAGAAGTAGACAGGGATTTACGTGTATTGGTTTTCCCTATGTCTACTTTTACATGAAAACATCTCTTCTGAAGGGCGCCTAATTTTGTGCAACCAAAATAACTTCTTAAAACAATTGTCATTTTAAGTCATTGTAAGAGATTAAGGTAAAGCAACAATTTTCAAACTAATTATATGACAACCACATGTTTATTTGTTTCAAGTTTTGAATGCCTAAAATTAGGCGCCCCTCAGAAGAGATTTTTTCATTTAAAAGTAGACATAGGGAAAAACAATACGTAAATCCCTATGTCTACTTCTTAATAATAATCACTGTATATAAAAGTGTACTTGATTTTCTAACAGTTTTCTTTATAGTAACAAATGAATAGGTATTTAGTACAAATTGTTGGTAATGGGAAACGCCTTTGGAAAAACATGCCCTAGCACACTTTACCTAACAACTTTTTAAACACGGAACGTTAGTGTGGGCACGAATTACAAAAATTTCTGAACCGTCCTATTCACAATCAGTTTTCAACTCCAAGGTAGTTTCCCACGTTTAAGTAGGCAATTAAAAGTAAGTGCCTTTTGCTTCTGAAGCGCAATATATCTACAGATTAGCAAAAATATCTGATACTGATCTTTGGAGAATAAGTCAAGCGTAACTATTGTCACCTTATACTTAATCATCTCCAGAGAGAAAATGTAGTAAATTGCCTCTTAAAATGCTTTGCAAACAGTTCCATTTTCATTGTACATACACTCGAATAAAAGATAAGTAGTTAATTTAAACAATTAAGTATCAAACGATAAAAATATCCTTGAGTATTTATAACTAATAATGGCACAAGTGTGAAAGGTCAATAAGTGGAACTTATTGAAGTATGAAAACGACTTTCCTTGAAGACCGTGACCTTAAGAATGAATGGTAAACAAGTAATTTGCGTCCCAACCGTATGCCATTCCATTAATATTCATTTTTGAAAGAAAAAGTGAACGAAAGTCAATTACTCTACCTTCACTTTCAAGGCAGATTAACACTGGCACAGTTTCAGGGTGCAAGGTGAGGAAAATCAATTGAGGGAACTCTGCAAAAAGGTGTTCTCAGCAACCCTCAGTTGGAAAGTATGAGAAATTTTAAAGAATGAAGGTTTATTGCACTATATGCACGTGTTACGTAATGCGTTTCCTTTTTCAGATACAACACAAATAAGGACAACTACCTCAGCCTCTCCGAGCTGAAAAGGATGATGGAGGAGCTGGGAGCACCGCAAACGCACATCGCCCTAAAGGGGATGATCGCCGAGGTCGACGAAGACGGCGACGGACGTTTGGCGTTTCGAGAATTCCTGCTGGTGTATCGTAAGGCGAAGGCCGGCGAACTCGACGCTAATTCCGGTCTCGGGCAGTTGGCCAAGCTGACCGAAATTAACGTCGATCAGGTCGGCGTCAATGGAGCGAAGGAATTTTTCGAGGCTAAGGTATTCCACGCACGCTACTCGCTAACAATGCTAATGTAACGTTACGTTGACATGATCGAAAGTTTGTGGTGAAACTCATTCGGCTAATGACTACAAATTAGCTAATGATGTGAGAGTTTCTTGGTGAATCAAAAAAAATTGATAATAATTTATTAGTCCTTACAATTTTGATCATTATTGATTAAACAATTGGAAATGTTCCTCTTCGGCGCGGATCTTGTTGTTGTTTGATGAAATTCAATTCTTGAAACTCGAGCTACTGCGTTAGGACGTTTCCTCCAACTGTTTCAGGGCATAAATAACTATTGTGTTCATTTTCTCAGAATTCACGTAGCACTAAATGAACTATCAATTAGTCGCTCTTGAATAGAAGTTCTAGCACACTATCCTAATCTACGCCCGAAACTAAAAAAATATATTGAGACTAATGGGGTTAATAAAATGGTGAAAGATAAAAATGACAGCCACCTTTAATTATAAGACAAGGATGATTAAGGTTAACTAACGATCATGGAAGATAATGAAAGCTCTCCTTGGCGTTGACAGCTATCTTCCATCTGATATACCACTCTTGTCGTCCAGAGCTGTCTGGAGTCTCCTATAGATGGCCGCTGGTTTCCACGATCTTGCCTGGATGGCGACGATGTCTGTAATTTCCCGCATGTAGAAAGAACACGGCGAAACCAGTGATCCCTGGGCCACTCCGGCTCTTGCTTTGCACTCTCGTGACCTGCACCCCTCGAAACGGACGCGAAAGCATCTGCCTTGTGACTAAGGGGAGGCCGGACTCTAGGATCTTCCGCAGCAACCCGTTTTGCCAAACCTGGTCAATCGCCTTAGGGACGTCCAAACAGACCCGCCCGGTGGACTGATTGCGTATTCTACCACTCTGAGCACTTGGTGGACCGTAGAGTCACCGTTCCGCAATCCGATTTTTTCGTACTGATTGGTCTCTCCTCTGATTGGTCCTACAGTCTTTTCAGGATTCCGGTACTTTGGCGATCGTTGAACGCCCTGTTCCCGATACCGTCCGGTCCTGGCGCCTTCCTTGGGTTTGTTCTTTTGATGACCCTGCTGTTGACTGGGTCGATCAAGTCCAAGTCTGCGTTTTCGTAGTTGGAAGAGAACAGAGAAATCGCCCGTATACACCAGTCCACCGACTCCGTGCACCTCGAACGATCTCGGTAGGGTGCTGCGCAGCGCCCTTGCCATCTTTCAGAGAGAACATCCTCCTCGCTCAAGAATCGCAGGCCGTTTTCCCAGGACTCTTTTTATAAGCCGCGCCGTGAAAGACTTTCTTTATCTCCTCACAGGACCCTGATGATGCGCACTCATCCCTAGCTTCGTGTAAACGATAATTTACCACACTGGAGTCTAGCTATTGGCCTATACTTACTACCCTCCTGAAAACGCGGTATTAGGAAAACCTCACACATAACACGAAGAACTTCTATTTCCATTCACAAATGCAATAAACTTTAAGAAATTGTTGTAGCGATCCCTCCTTCGAACTCTGGCACTCAAATCTGTCTGCCAATTCTAATAAAAATGGCCCTTCCTCCAGCTGTGCTTTGCACGGACCGACTATAGAATCTCGGCTGAGACTGTTTCTTCGATTTGAAATTGACCTTTCCCTCTGCGGCACGGCTGTAGAATCGTAGCTGAGTTACGCCGTGGAGATTTTCAACTTTCTTCTTCTCTTTCTTTGGAAATGCTACGAAATTTTTTGCCCCCGTCATGACGGTAGCCTAATAGCGTAGTTTCTCTCTTCGTGATCCACCGACTAGACGGTTTAACTTGAAAAATGCACAACGCGTCTGTAAAACGACCAGCGCAGACGCATGCTGTTCTCCCACTATTTACACTCATATTTATAGGTATCGCCGTTGTAAATTCTGATCGTCGAGTAGTCAGTTGTGCGTCGAAGTGGAAACAGCTAGACAGCATTTTTCTTAGTGCGCTCTCCGAGCTAGTTTAGACGAGTCTAAGTGAAGCCCAGTGGGAAGACTGAAGATTTTTTTTATTTCGAAGACGACATCATCAGTTCTCTAACTAATGAGAACTCGCTTCTTAAGGGAGAGCTCGAAATTCTTAAAATGCAATTTGAAGCTTTTAATGGAAATTATCAATCATTGGAAGCAAATTACAAGGAAGTTGTGAGAACACACAATCTACTAAACTCCAACAGGAGAACTCTGAAGAGAAAAAAAGCCAGAAGACGACGATCGTAAGAACTCCGGTACCTGAGGGTAACCAGAACGCCTCTCAGATTTAACAAACACAATGCGTCAGAACCAGCCATTGGATCTACTAGGGGGCCAACAAAAAATTTCCGACACCCAACCTCTTTGACCTCTGCCCATCTCCCAATCACAATGGCAATGTAGCAGACGCCCCACAGGATACTTACCTTAACTGCAACACAAATTGGGACTTTTTTACCAAAAACTTACGTTGCACTGGACCAATCCAAGGCATCGAAGGGGTAATTACAAGCACACCGCAGAAATACCCCCTCAACCTCTCCCCAAAAATCAAGGATCTAATCAGATATAAGAATAGGTCACTCTGAAGGGCCAGATTCAGGCTAGCCCCCCGACGACTTAGAAAAGTCAATCGACTCGAATCGCGGGGGGGGGGGGGGGGGGTTAAAAATTAATCTCAATTTATTCTAATTAAACGACAGGCACCGTTTTCTAACAACTACCGCTCTTCTTTTTGTCCTCTTATCAAAGTACGTGGTGGTGGGGGAGTGTGTGTGGTGGTTTGGGGGGGGGGGGGAATAATGAAAGGATAACCTTCATGGTACTCTAATGAAAGGTCTCAACGAAAGGAATTAATTTCTACCAACCATAGCCCTCCTCCTCGACCTCTTATCGTCATCGGGTATATGGATTGTCGGAAGAGGGTACTCACAAAGGACGATCGAAGCGTCTGCAAGAAATATCCACTGGCAAAAGCTATTTCGGTTAAAAAAATGCGCTTTATCTGCACAGGAGTTGTTCACAATTTATACTTGTTGCAGTTCCCGCTTCTCCCGTCGAAGCAATACTTTTTGAACTATAATAATAATAATAATGCTCTTTATTTTGCAAACAATGCTAACATTATTCATTTTCCTCATCAATAATGCCCATTTTCTCAACGTTTTTCACGCGATCCGTTTGCTACTTAAATTCCAATTAATTATCTACCAATTTCATATCGCCAGTCAATGACCCGCAATTGCAAAATAAGTTTACATGATCGACAAGTTGTGATTGCAATTGTAACAAAAATTATTATGATTCATCGAAGAGTGAATCACTTCGTACGTTACTCACATTTGCATTTCCATCAACATTCGTGTCAACGTTAATGCACCTGGTTTGGCAAATTGACCAGCGGTAATTGCCCACTTAATTAACGCTTCCACCATCAAGGTTGTAACAGCAGTTAAAAATAACAACAAAATAAATCTCAATTACTTATTACTAATTGCGGTGAGATGTCCCAGAGTTATAATAAACATTAATTAAACGGTTAAGTAACTTCCATCATGATGACAGTGTATGTGCCAATATTAATTACACATAACGAAATTTTGTTGATGGCCATGTGGTATTAATTTAATCCCGTTGACAATTTGGGCCAGAGCAATAAATTTCATTAAGCTTCGTGCCAAATAATTAAATCGTTTTTATTGTTTTAGATTGAGGAATTATCGAAGAAAAGTAAGTTCGAGCACGAAATTCGCCAAGAACAGGAAGAAAGGAAGCGAATGGAGGAAGAGAAGGCGATTAGAAGACAGCAGTTCCTGGAGAAAGCTGCCTTTTTTAAATAATTGTGATTGTTAATATATTGTGATTTTAATTTTTATGTATAATGTACTTATATACTGTTGTATATGTAAAATACTCTTCTTAGTGCTTAAGCTAGCTGAAGCTTATTATTTTTAAGGACACTGCCTGTAATGTGAACAACAGTCATGAAATGAATTAATATGTAATTTAAAGCGATGCCATCCTTTTCAGCCAAGAGAATTAGCGTGAAAGTAATTGCAGTATAGGTGAAAGAATCCTCTCATGCTTCTCCCTACAACCACATATTTAAAATCCTCTTAGTCCAGGAACCAGCCGTGAAAACCCCTCCCGACCTTAAAAAGAAACGTTCCCTATTGAGGCCAAACCCATTGGATTAAGACATTGTGACCATACGCATTCGGCCATTTTGTCGAGATGAATGTGCTTGTTTGGATTTGGCAAAATGGCGTACTTTGTAGAAGAAATAACCCTGATCACTTTTTGAATCCATAATTTTTTAATGGAAACTCATTCTTTCTTTAATGTGTACATCATTAAATAATTGAACATACAATAATACAAATTAGGGGAGTGAGACTAAGTTTTTGGGAAGGGTGAAAATGGTATTACGGCTTTCTTTCCAGTCAATCTCCAAGTAACCGAAAAAATCGCGGAAAACTGTGTTTTTTGTTTTTTATTGTTCATTTCCGCAAAAAATGATACTCTTTTAACGAGACTTGACGGTTGGAATATACTTTTTTATAATATAAATTACTACACTTTTTTTTATTCCTTTTTTTTTGGCAAAAAACTTTTAAATGAAAATTGTCTTTCAGAGATTTATCGTAGGGAATTCTATTTGGTGTCATTTTCTTTGTTTTTCTCTATACTTTTTGATGAAATAAAAAAATTATAATCCCTTTAAGAAGCTCAAAAAACGAAAAACCTCCAAATACAACTTCAGTAACATTGAATTTTCTAGTAGATGTTGATAGTTTGTTTAAATTAAAAAAAACTGAAAAATCACCACGTTAGTATAACACAGTCGGTGATGGCGCTCAGATGTCGCCTACCCCACATCATGTAGCCCCGTCCCTACAGTTGTAGGCAGACACTCCTTGTCTTTTCACAAGCGTTCTTCTACGGGCGCGCATATGCTGCCAGCCAGCCGGCAGGCCGGCAAAAGTGAGATTAAACGCTAGCCTTTTACAAATAAATTTGCAAAAATTCGCAAAAAATTGTTATTTTTTAAATGAAGCTCTATTATGAGACCTAAATGTTTATGATAGTACCATAAAGAAAGAAAGTGTTTGTTCAAATACAGAAATAATTGGATCTTTTGTATATTTCACGTAGAATTAAAAACCAATTTCGAAAAAAAATTCAAAGGGCTGTAACTTGTGAACTAGTAGCCCAATCTTGGAACTGTTTGAAATTATGATTCTACAGGCCACATTCTATAAGAAAACTTCTTTTCCGGGTCGATCTGAGACAATTTTTTTTTCGGGGCTCAAAAAAAGGCAGTGTATAACCTTCCTTTTTTACCAAAAATCGACTACACCAAAATTTCCCGGGAAAACACTTTTTCTTATTAATTTTGGTGCGTAGAATCCAAAACAATTCGTACTTTTTCGATCAGACTTCTCAATCAAAAGTTATAGACTAGAAACCAATTTCGAAAGAAAATTCAAAGGGCTCTAACTTTTGAACTAGAAGCCCAATCTTGAACTGTTTGAAATTATGGATTCTACAGGCCACATTCTGTAAGAAAATTTTTTTTCCGGGTCGATCTGAGAAAATTTTTTTTTCGGGGCTCAAAAAAAGGCAGTGTATAACCTTCCTTTTATACCAAAAACCGACTGCACCAAAATTTCTCGGGAAAACACTTTTTCTTATTAATTTTGGTGCGTAGAATCCAAAACAATTCGTA